CCCCCCACCCCCCACACCCCCCCCCCCCCTCCCGATTGTCCGTGGTACACATTTCGTGCCGGAAGCCAAAAAAATAGCACTTCGCTCGACCAAACAAATACACAGGCACTTCATTCAGCACAAGCACGTCTAGTTTTTTTTTTTGTCTTTTTGCTCATTTTTTTTTTCGGCCCCTCCCCCACAGGTGCATCGATACGTCACTCTCGCCATCCCAGAGCCGTCTTCTCGCTTCGTGGCGAGCGAGTCGGAAGACAGCGATGACGATGACCACTACAGCGACAGCGATAGCCACGACGATACTAGCTCGGTCGAAGAGGACGACAATGTCGGCGGAATATTTTGCTCCGTCCGGCCGACTGGTGAGGGCCCCACACCCGATAGGCTTCAATGGCAGATACTTGGGAGCCGCGGAGCGGTCGAAAATGGGAGCATCGTTCGCTGTTCGTGTGTGTGTGTGTGTGTGTGTGTGTCTGTGTGCGTGCCTTCACCTTAACGGTGTTGTGCGTCGGTTTCATACTTCTTGGGAGGCGTTTTGAAGGAACCCACAAAAGGGGCCACACAGAAACCAAAGTCGACGCAAGAGAGAAATGAGCGTAGGAGCGTGCATTTTGTTTTAGCTTTCGTCAAACTCCCTCAGTACGCATGGCCCGCTACGGTTTCTCGAACACCCCCTCCCCCATTATTTTACTCATTAGCTGCGGGCACCAGCTCTGGTGCTAGTGTTGTGGTCGAACCTTCCGATGGCGGCGCCGGGCGCGTGGGGCCTGGGTCCAATTCCACGGGTCTCCGGCGAGAAGTTTCGCCTACAAGCGATGCAAGGCAGGACCTTGGCAGGCAAGAGCGTGGTGGCGGGCGCGATTGGGACGGTATCGGTAGCGGGGCCCCTTCGGACACCGGTGCTGCTGCCGAGGGGGTAGGTGGTGCCCCTGCTGCTGGCGTCGGCCGCCAGGTTGCTTGCGTTTGCGGCGACGCTACAACTGCGGCTGCGGCTGCGGCTGCTGAGTACGGCGCCGCTGCCGCCGCAGCAGCAGCCGCAGCAGCCGCCGCCGGCGGCGCTAGCGCTGCTGGAAGCGTTTCTTACCCTTCGCCGGCAGAAAGAAGCGGCGGCGGCGGCGGCGGTGGCGGCATCATCTCCACCACCCCGTCTTCGTCCACGGCCGCTGCCGCGCCCGCAGAAAGGAGGGGTACTGGCGGCGCATCCCAGCCCGCAGGGGGGCTTATCACCGGGGTTCGCACGGCGGTAGGTGAGGTCGGAGGCGGCGGGGGCAGAGGGAGCGTCGGAGGGGCGTCCCACGGATCGGTGGTCGGATACGCGGTCGACGCGGCGGGCAACACCTTGGTGGAGGCGCCGATGCTGGAGCCTTTCGAAGGTGAGGGTGGGCGTACTCGCTCGCTCGTGTTTTGCGTGCCGATAGAACATTGACCACGCGTGTTCGAGGGACGCCGGAGCATTGTTCCCACAAGACCGATCACGAGCCTACCTTTGCCAAAGGCTGCTCAATAAGTGCGTTTCCCGCCCCCTGCCTATCGTGAGGGGGAGCTTTTTCCTCGTTTCTTGCGCCGCGCCAGCACGGCAACATGACGACAGAGGGGGCGTCCGACATGTCCGCGGCATGCCCCGCCCTTGGGTCTACCCTCCTTCCTTCGGTTTGTTGTTCTCGAACAGCAGTGAGACCTCCTCCCCTGGGTGTGCCCCCTGGGTGTGGCGTCCGCCTTGGAGTGGGGCTCTAGGTGGTTGTAGACCCGGCAATCAGCCAGGTTCGATGACAGCGGGAGTACTTGTGGCACCAAGAATCCGAGCAATAGCAGGTTGCGTCCCCTCACTCCCCCTCCCCTTCACGCTTCCCGGGGTCCACGTGGCTACGACGGCTCAGAAATTAGCGACCCCCCCCCCCCCCCCCCCCCCCCCCCCCCCCCCCCCCCCCCCCCCCCCCCCCCCCCCCCCCCCCCCCCCCCCCCCCC